TGATGTAACACTTTCTCCCCTCACCACATTATTGGACATTGTCATCATGTTATAATAGCAAAGAAATTGAAATGATGAAATAGGATAGGGAGTCTGACATTCGCAACTTAAATTTTTAAATTTTATGGCTACATGGCTTAGAAACCTCAAGCCAGGTCTTTAACCTATACAGGTCTAAGTTTTCTCATATCTAAAGTATTAGTTCCTACTTTAGAGAAAAATGGTGAAGATTAAAATCTATTATATTATATAATAATATTTATATGCCCATACTATTAATATGCCTATACTATATAATCTTATATTATCCTAAATGGGATTTAACACTTGCCTGGTGCATATGTAATCTTCAGTGAAGGCAAGAAATTACTGATAATTATTTTATCTCATGGTAAAGAAGAATGATGGAATTCAAGTAATAGTCTAAAATCACATGATTAGTAAGTAGCAATGCTGTGATTAGAACCTAAGTAAAATAACTCCTGATCCTCTAGGCTTAATCTCTAAGGATACAGAATCTTCTTCCAGTGGTCCTCTTCAGGCGCTAATGTTCTTGAAATACAGAATATATTTACTGTAAGACTCTCTGAAAAATTCAAATAGTGGAAGTATTCCCTTAATTCCATTCCTATATGGAGTGGAACATAGTATAAGTTTTCTAATATTACCATAAATTATTTTTATTATTTTTTAATGCTACCATTTAGAAACTTCAACATTCCAAGTACACACCAGCTTTGGCATCTCATTGCATTTAGGGAAGCGAGATGCTAAAAGGATTTTAAAAATATTCTCCCATGAATTTCAGTTACACTACTCCAGATGTAAATAATAGCCCCACTCAGTCATCTCCAACCTTGTGGTCCCTGGTGGGCATCGTGGTCTGGACACACAGTAGGTGCTTTAATTCAGTAGGTCCAATTTATGGACAAATCATGACCATCCACGCTTCTGTCACCAGCATGAAAGAACTAAAATTTTGAGTTTTAAAAGGTCATTTTTTATATATGGTTAATACCTTTTTTTAGATCTCAAGGAAGCTCGTATTATAGTATTATAAATATCTGCTAAATAAATGAGCTGAATAAATACAAAGAAAGTATTTTTAAATTGGTGGTAGATTATCGTTGTATTTTTGTTTTTATGGAAGACAATTACCAGCAAGAGTTATTTTTTTCAAGTCCTCTTTTCATACATAGTTTGAATAACTTGATTTTTACTTAGCTTAAAAGAAGGATGGTTCTTTATTCAGTAACTACTTCAACATACTTTGATACATATTTGGATGAAAAGTAGATGTTTTCATAGCTCAGTGTTGCATACAGAGATAATGAAATAGCTTTGCCATTAACATTTTGATTCAGTTTCTCTCTGGTTTGTGTTAACAGAAAACCACTTTCATTTTTATAGCTGGAAAAGAGGCAATTTGCTGTCATGAGGCTTTGGGCATGGTCCTATCTGTCACAGCTCTGTAGCATCCCAAACTACTCCGTAAGTAGAGAAACTCCATGAATTCCAAACATTGGCTACTGACGTTGACTATTATCCTCAAAACCTGTGACCAGTTTTCCTTCATTCTGACACAGTATTAAAATTGATCTTCTTTAAAAATATCTTACAGACTTTTAACTGAATTACAAAAACGAACCTAATAGATGTAATATGATGTGCTTCATTGTTACTGGAACTCATATAAAGTTTTGAGAAACTGTATTACAAGAATGTCTGAAATAGGAGCCCCGAATGTCAAATGTTAGAGCTAAAGGGGAGGACATGTCTCTATTCTCTTAAAATACAATGAGAATTTCCTTGAGATCTGATGAATTAACCCACTGTGGAAGAGAAGGCTTAATCTAACAGTTGCACTGCATATCTGTTTTCAAGTAGGTCATTGATAGCTATTTAACGAGAAAGAATATGTGCTCCATAAATTTTCACATTTTAATTGCCTGGGAGACTCTTAGAATTTATGAAGTGGAAAGTTCCACGGAGATCATCCAGCATAGACTTTTTTTTTTTTATCATATTAGATAACTAAATAGTTAAAGAGACTTACCCAAGTTTAGAAAGCAAGGGTGGCAGAGGAGGCTTAAGTTTTTTTTGTTTTTGAGACAGGGTCTCACTATGTAGTTGAGACTGACCTGGAACTCACTATGTAGCCCAGGCTGGTCTCAAACTCACAGTGGATCCTCCTGCCTCAGCCTCCCGAGTGCTGGGATTACAGGCATGCGCCATCATGCCCAGTTTTAGGCTTTAGTATCTGTACTCCAATTATTCTTTTATTTTCTGTAGTGAAACAGTGTATAAATATAAAGCTTGTAGTATACAGAAATATGTGGCATGGATCTATGTAGATCATTATTTATGCATATGATAACAAAGGTTGAAACAGGTCTCAGGATGTTCAAGAATCCAATCCCCACCTCAGGAATGGGAATTCAAAGCACTCTAATAGAAGCAAATACAAATAACTCAGACTTTCATATTACCAATTTATTTTGAAGTACATTTATTCTGTACATAATAAAAGATAATAACTGCATCATGTAATACTCATATGCCGTTTAGAATATAACATGATGTATGCATAATATTATGAAAAAAACTATATTCTGAATGAGGCCTACACTGTAAAATAGATATAAGTTGACATAAAAGGGTTTAATCATTTAAGAAAAATATCCCCAAATCATCCTCATAAGGCTTTAATCTAGGTGAAAGTTTGTCTAGGTAACACTCAAATTTCTGATCAAGATCACTTGACCAAAGAAATAAGAAAAATAAGAGTAAAAGAAATCATTGTTTCTCTAAGTTAGATATGTAAAATAGTGGGAAAGAAACCTGCAAGTGAAAATATATCTGAATGCAATGAGTATCAATGTTCGTTTTCCTTAAGAAAGTTTCAAAAAAATCTATGAAAGTTATTTTGATGTTAAACAGTCTACACTTTTAATTAATTAAAATCACTTTAAAGTGTGTGCATAGACTATATTCAATGAGATATACCTCCAGTAAGCAAAGAATGCAATGAAGTTAAATCTTGTTTTGAAGTTTTTTTTTTGTTTGTTTTTTGACTCTTGAATTCACTTTAAGTGTTATACCCAAGTTTGATTCCCAGTACAAAAAAAAAATTAAAGGGCACTGTTGCTTTTTTCATCTACCAATTTTTATACATAGAGGATAATTCCTCTTTGATGTGATTATGAACACTGTATTATTTTAAATTCATCCTCAAACAACACTGGAAATCAGGTATGGATTTATACTGAAGTTTATGAGAGAACACATTTTCTTCCTAGAACTAGTACAACATTGGCCTGTAAAATGCTAATATTGTAAAATATAAAATACATGAAAGAGATCACTTGCACAAATTGATACAGTTTTGAATATAGGTAAGAAGGCAATGTAAAAGTAAATAACTTCACAAAGGCTACCAGACCTTAAATGTTCTCATTTGGGAGAGTGCACATCCTCCTGAAACAAACAAGAGCAATACTAGAGTGGGTAGCATCACAAAATCCAGAGCAAATGCCCCAACATAAGAGTGAAAAGAAGGACAACACAATCCTCCATGAAGTAATGAAATAAGATAAAATAAGTCTCACAATAGAGAGAGGAATTCTGACAGTGTTCTAAACAGCTGGAAATGTCAAAGAAAATAAAACCCAACGCATTAAAATAGCAGGTCCTAGTTACACTGGTCCTGGTAAAACAACACACTCGTGAACAGAGAAGCCAAATCAAGTTTCTAGCTACATAAGAACATAAAGCACATTTTAAAGAAGAGCGGACATTTGCATAATTTAGAATTTATATTTTTTAGAGCTACAAAGCAATGTTTCCCCCAGAGTGAACTGCAAAATGCCTTCTGCAGACTTCCTTTAAAATGACTTTCTCAAACCCTGCTTCACATCAGCACCCTGGCCCTCCTGCCAGTGAGTTGTAAATGTAGGTTTCTGGTAACCTACATCAGAATGACACACTTCAATTTGCTATTTGGAAGAGCCACCTAATTTATGTCACATTGTGGCAGCCGTTCTCTGGAGAACTGGCTGGATTAGTTGTGGATGTAAATACATTGCTAATGAATTTTTTCTTGTTTACTTATAAAGAATATCAAAACATAACTACGTCCAACATCATCTAGAGATGCTTGCAAAAACTGCACTGCCAACTTTAGAGAAACAACGACTGGCTGGATACAAATACTCTATCACAGGTATTTTGAGTAGTAAGTTAAACAGTCTCAATTTACTCCAATTCTCAGAGAGACATTACTTCAAAAAATGATATAAGCAAGTACACACCTCATTTTTTAAAATGAAAGGGAGAAGATTATCAAGAACAGGAGAACGAGCCTCTAATGAACATAAATAGCAACATCTAAAAAACAATTAGCTATTTGGAATCTAAATTAACCTCAACCTGTCCTATGAGTTGGAGACTTTTTAACCTCAGACTCTCTGAAACAACATAAAACAGGTAACAGTATAAGCACTTCTAGAGACATTATAAAAAACTTGTCATTCTTGGGCTGAAATCTTAAACCGTAAGAAATTGTAAATGTACATGCATTTCCATTTGATGAATGCATTTGCACAGCAAGAAATGAGTGCACCTTACAGTATACTGAAATAAAAATTGCTAATGAAATTTAAAGGGGATATTAGAAACAAAAATGTAACATCAAAATTTAGACCAAATGTCGATAGAAGCAGACATATGCATTGTAAATACTTAATTTCCTCAGTTTTGGTTCTAACACTTGCTTCAAATTGTTTCCATGGTTTCAATATCCTTTTGTTGTGAAAACATTACTAAAACTTGCAAAAAGTTTATTTTATTAATCTTTCCTACCCTGAACAATTTGGCTCTTTATGTCTACCCCAGAGTCACCTTTCTTTGAGCTCATTTCAGGTGCCTCTCACATTCACTTAAAGAAAAATGTTATTGCAAAACAGATAATTGTTAGAAGTCGCTAAAAAGCACTCCCTTACCTTCTAAACCTGCTTCAATCAGCCCAAACTGTTCCAATAATTTAACAAAAAGCACAATGACGATCAGAACTGCTATCATCTCAAGCCCTTCCAAGTTCATGATCAGCTAGGTCATGGTCCGACCACTGCCACTGAGAAGTGTTCCTCTGCCTGGCAGAGGAAGAAGTGCTCCTCTTTCTTTGTAAAGCCATTAAACTACGTTAAGAAGACTAGCGCCGGAGAAGGGGAGGAGAAGGGAGAGAGAGAGAGAGAGAGAGAGACACACACACACACACACACACACACACACACACACACACACACGGAGGGAGGGAGGGAGGGAGGAGAAGGCCAAGAAAAGATGCAGTCGTCCTGTCTGTCCTGTCTGCTGCAGAGGCAGCTGGATGAAGTCAGGGCTGTCAAAATTATCATCTTCCTCCTTGTCACTCTGACACAGAGAGACGGCCACTCCTGAAACAGCGCGCAGATCCCCCGAGGCCCCGGAGGTCGCCAGGAGCATTCCCCGACCCAAGGACCCGATGCGCGGGGACAGCTGGGCCCGGGACTCCACGCGCACCGCCGGTGGCTTTGTGGGGCTGGCCAGTTGCCTTGGCAACGCGGAAACTGACCCGGGGCTGCACTGGCCGCAGACAGGGACCCGCGCCGCCCACCCGGCAGCTTTAAACACCAAGGCAAGCTGGAAACGCCCCGGGCCGAGCGCCGGTTTTCATTCTGTTGTTTCAGAAACACTGTTTACTAGTTAGGGCAATCGCGAGTATTTCAGCCAGGCACGCAGGTCCAGAGAGAAAGGAGGCTTCAGGAAGCCGTTCATTGTTCACTTTCATCTTTTCAGTAAGGTTTTATCCTAAGTCTTAGTCACTGTGAACCACTATGCTGGTTTGAATAGTATTACACTGTTTCAAAGCAGGAGAGTGACAAGCTAATGAATACTCTTAGCATTTACGTAATGTTTTAGTTTTGCAGTTACCTCCTTAGGTTTTTGCTCATACCATTCAATACATTAAGACATACACTTTTCAATGTGTGCTTGTTACATTATTTTTTTTAAAATATTGATTTAAGTAAATTTAGAGCCAGTCGAAGTCTGAGGAAGAAATACAAACTTATTGGAGTTTCTGTCTCTATTTTGCATAACTTTTTTTCCTCCTAACTCACACTGCCCAAGTAGCATAGATCAGACCTACAATGAAATACTGGACTAAATAGCTACAGTAACAACAACAACAAAGCAAAACAAAACAGCAACAAAACACAAGAGCTGGAAAAGCTCTCAGAAAGCCAATTCTGTTCTCTTATTTCACGGAGGAGCATCTGAGGACTAAAGACAGCAAGAGATCAGGCAGGGGCAGAACAGCATGGATGGGGGTCCACTTGTGGTTGGATTTGAGGCAGTTTAATGGCTTAGAATGCAGAGTCTGGGACCAGATTGCCAGGATTCATGGCTAGACCCTCTTATTAGCTGTGTGGGTACATTATTTATTATCTCCATATCTGTGTGTCCTTATCTATTAAACAGGGCATGTCAATAACACCAAGACACCAGGACTGTTGAGGAAAGTAGTAAATGGCACATTCAAAACAGAGAAAGTTGTTTCAATCACTACCAGTTCTTATTTTTACCACAATGTGTCCATGCTTTACTTACATTTCATAGCAGTGCCAGACTCATTAATTTGAAATTTAGCCTCACTGTATCATTCTCTTAATCAAAGCTCTCCCAGGACTTCCTTTTGCCTACTGAATGAAGTCCAAATGCCCCTGCAAAGAATCCTGGTCTCCTTGGTATCCTGGTCTGGTATCAGCTTGAGGACTGTTCCTCAGTGGTCGTACTCTCCCTAAACAGTCTGCCTAATGGCTCAGCTCCTTCTCCCAAGCTCCTTCGGGGCTCTTCCACCTCCTTTGGCTTTATTCAAATCATATGATCCTTTTTTTGGTGGGGGTTACATACCATCCCCACCTGTCAAGTCCTTAAAACTGTTTCATGAAAATTCTCCAACCAGTATTACAATAAATCTCTCCCTTTTTGTGTGTTTTGGTGGTACTTTCCCCATTTATGATACATTCTATTACAGCTACTTGGATATACGCTCTCTCCACCGAAAACTAAGCTTCAAGAAGGCAGAAATCATGCCTTCAGTGCCTTCCTTGGTGCTCAGCCTCATGTGTCCATGGGGATACCTCCTACTCTATAGATGTAAAGTATATGTATTTATTGGATAATGGTCACCATTGACTAGGCTATACTGCATGCCAGATGCTGGATATACATTGCTTCTCCTAGCCACCATGATTGTTGATATAATTAGACATGATTTACAGAGGAAACACTAAGCACCAAAGAGTTTAAGGAACAGGCTTTGGGTCATACCACAGGCTAATGGTGGCACCAAGATTCAAACTCTGATTTGTTTAAAGCAAAACCTATTATTTCTTCTCATTATTCCACAACAGTTTTAAGTGAATTAGAAATCCAAACATTGGCACAAGTACTCATTAGCACAAGATGAAGGTTGAAACCCAAATGATCCTTCCAAACTGTTTTGTGACATTCTAATTAATCCATTAACCCCAGCAACTTTGAAACATGAGATGTTTCCAAACTGGGAGTTAATTGAACTGATGGATCTTGTCTCCTGATCATTCCCAGGATTATCTTGACTTAAACACATATCACCTGTGGTCTTCATAAAGGAATTCTTCTGTCTTTCTCCTAGGAGAAGCTCCATAGGGCTCCTCAGCTTGTTTCACAGACCAATATCACCACCCAGGTTCCACCTGTAAGGTTGGTATCTTTGGGCTGAGGAATATAGTAGCAGGGAGGTAGAGAAAAATACCAGAGTGAGTTTATTTTCTGTCTGAATGTCACAGTTAAGGGTTCTCTTAGTGCATAGTTGGTCCTCTGCGAGCCTCCCAGTTCCCTTTCTTTATATACCATACTCTCTCAGACCTCTACTTTTCTGGTTATTATATTTATTATATTACATTATGTTTTATATTATAGTATTCTCAGGTGCTCTATGAATAAGTGACTCTATGCATGTCTTGGTTCCCAAATTCCCAACACAGAAGAGCCCTAGGAAACTACACTCCATACAAAAGCAACCCTGAAATCACTACTCTGTGAACCAGTGTTAATTCCCTTAAAAGCGCTGTCAGAGGCTGGAAGGAATATATGCTTACATGTTTGTCAGATGCCTCCTTTTGATAGAATATAAACCAGTGATGGTGAAACTTTTAGACCTTTCAATGATGCAGACAGGCCACCACAACATGCATGCCATAAGTTTAACACCACTGAATAAACTGTTGACTACAAGTTCAAAGAAATGTGATTATCTTGTTGACTGTGGTACTCTCAAACAGAGAACAGTTAAGGGATAGAGAGTATAGCTCATTGGTAGAGTGTTTGCTTAGCCTGTGCCAGTCCCTGAGTACTAAATAAACAAACAAATGAGGAAGAAAAAAAATAGTGTGTGCACCTAAGGGGCAGTGACTATTTGTTGAATGACTAATCTCAGCCTCTTTCCTAAAAGTCACTTGCCCTTTCTGTGATCTGGCAAGACCCAATTCCCTGTTATCTAGAGCACAGAGGACACCTGTGGGCCAGAGAGGGTTCTACACAATCTCTGAGGAAGTCTCCTTCCAAGGCTGTTCCTATAGTGTCCCTTTGAGGTGATCCAGGAGTATGCACACTGGAACATCCTGGCTGTGTTCACAGTTTCATGCTCTTATGTGGGTACAGTTTGTGTTTCCTGCCAAAATGACCAGTGACAGCAGTATAAGAAAGACAACTGAGAAGGTATCCATGCTTGAACTATCTTAAAACCTTTGCTGTTGTAGAAGGTGAGAAGTTCCTTGGACAGCATCTATTTCAACTTCTTAATTTTCAGCTGGAAAAACACTTCAGTCTAAATTGGTAAAGCAATTTAATTATATACATACATATATAGCTCGATATATTCATAGCTTGAATTCAAAGAAAGCATTAGTCCAGTATAATTTCTTCCTAGAGAGTCCAGTATATTTTCTTCCTATAGAGACCCATATTCCACTTTATAAGAGAGATTCTAGTGTCTAGGAGATCTTAACAATGACCAGATCATGGCTCTCATTCAAGTTACTTACAACTCACTCAACCTCAGTTTGCTAATCTTCAAAACAGAGCCAATACGCCTTTCCTCAGAGGGCTGTTATAAGAACCACGGCAAGACAAGGAATCATTCCATGTCCCCAATCAGGAGTTGGTAAACACTGTCTGACATTTTATGAGTGGCCAGATATACCTGAAGTACTCAATGAAACAAACTACCAGGATATGGAACTGATACTGTCTTGTCACTTCTTAAAAGACTGTTTGCTTTTGCTGAATTGATGCGATTTTTAGAAGACAGAAAGTTCTGTGCCCATTCCCTAGGACGAGTAGTAGATAAAGGGTGTAGATGAGGTGGTGATGAGAAGAACCATGTTAGGTAGATGGAAGTTCTACATGATACTTGGGAGGCTGAGGCAGAAGGACTGTTTGAGTGCAAGACTTTGAGGCCCACCCAGGCTACATAGCAAGTACTCAGCTAAAAAATAGAAAATCTCCTATGAGTTTTATTCTCAACAAACTAAAAGAGGACATTATGGCAGACTCAAGTTTCACTGCTTAAAGGAGGCCTCATAAAAGCAGCTTCAGGGAGTTTTTCTGCTCAGGTTCACATGGCCACAGGAAGGTTATCCTTTACCTATTCCAGAAAAACAAACACACTTAATTAGAAACCTTCTCATTCATGTATTTCAGAGCAGATCCCTAAAGTGCAGTTTATTCAAAATCACCAGTTACTGACAGTAATGAACTTATTTCTGCTTCATTTTCAGTGGTGCAGTTTTTGAAAGGATGCAGTGCTACTTCCCAAAATGAGAGACGAATCTGCCCTTTGATGAACTGATGCCAAGAACAAAGATATCCTGGTTAGTTGTGTCTTTCTGATTCCAGGTGGGAGATGGTAATCAAAAGTAGAGGAAAGGAAAAGGGACAAACCTTCTATTTATTCTTATCTCAGAATCCCAATTAATTGGCCTGAGCAAAAAAAAAAGCTTTGCTCAGTTTGATAGTCTGTTGTTTATTCACTCCTTAAACCTGTGGTCCAGGTATTGCACATGCAAGATGCTATGGTCCTAAAAATCTTCTTCCCAGACTTTACGTAGATCGGAGTCTATTAAAATTTGGGTCACACTAAGTAACACATTTGGAATGATCACTACTGGACAGATTTGTATACTATTATATGGGTTCTCTTGCATAGACCCAGGTGGTAAGGTGCTACTCTTTCACAGGGGGAAAATTACAAGGGAAACAGGAACACAGGGGCTTACTGAATTACACCGGGAAAACTCCAATCCAAGATTCATGTAGGTTTGGTTCCAGAGACCATGATTAGATGGTGTTTAAGATACAGCTGAAACAACTGAAATCCAAGGTGATGTCTAGTAAAAAGCCTTGAGGAAGTAGAGAAAGTACTCAGACAGGAGGGACCACCCAACTTGGGCTTTAAAGGCAGTGTGAGGGAGGGCAAAAGAATCAAGGTCGGGTTTACAGAGGTCGTGCTAGGTTTTATGTAGATATGAGGCAGTATTTGCTTGTTTCATAGCTACAGCAGTCTAAATGCCCAGTGGAGAAGCAATTAGTCCCACCATAGAATTCACTTGGAAGCTGAGAAACCACCAAAATCAGCCAAATCCAGAACCCAGGCTCTCCAAGCTTCGTGTTTCTCTGGGCATCTCCAGGTCTAACTTTCCAGTTGAGCGTCAGTGGCCTGTCTGTGACACACATTATTCCTTCGGCAATGACGTGATCCAAGAGAAGCCTGGCTGTACTTTATGAGTGAGAGAATACAAAGCATATACAGCCCTTCAAAATGAACCGAAATAAAACAAGCCCAGGGCATGAAATGAGAAATTGATTTCTGAAATGTTGTGAAGAGATGATGATCTTATATGTGAATGAGACAGGGTAACGCAGAGGGGAAGAGATGCCTGTGATCAGAATCTCATCTGCTACTTTGAGCTTTGGAACTTTGAGCAGATCTCTGAGATGACTCAGGTAAAGCACTCCGAACAGAGTCTGTCATGTACATATATGCTCAATAAATGGTAATTGTTATTGTTGGTATTTATCGAACCTTTGCTGTATACTGAATACTGTTCTAATTGCCTGATACGAATTATTTCCAGACATTTATACAGCTCAGTGAGTTAAACGTTACTACTATTTCCAGTTGAAAAGAAGTAGCTAAGAAATAGGGCATTTCCAATTTGAACTGGGAATTCTTAAGAAAACATACTACTCATACACACCCGTGAGTTCACCACCACCTTCAACAAAGTAATGCAGGAAGAATTTATAAATTCTTGTAAGAAAAAAATTAAAATTGTCCTGAAGAAAAATAGAAATCCCGGTATCTCTTTGCAAGGGGAAAAATGATAAATAGCAAAGAAATAACTCTAATGGGTGATCGGTGCTTGAGAAATTCGTAATCACCTTCCATTCTGGAACACCCGCAAGATGAAGAGATAGAACAAGATGCTAATAGAGCATCAGGCTGCACACTCTACTCAGATCAAACTGGGTTTTCAAAGTGTCCTACCAACTGGTAGGGAAATCTACCTTGAAGGACACGTCACAAAGTTTCTATCAGTCAACTTATTAGCTCCGCCCATGCATCACAATCCGTATTCCATGTCCAAACTCTCAATTATGAGGAAGCACTAACACTACAGTCAGACACCCACAGATGATGTTGTCCTCAGGGTACATGACAAAGGCAAGCTGCGGTGCTGGTACCGGTGGGCACATAGAAGAACTCCAGGCGGTGACTCGGAAACACACGAAGCTGTAGTCCACTGCACCCCTGGTGGAGTGAAGACAAGTGGGATGAATGGAAATGGCAGCAACCGTATCTGGCATGGACAAGAGAGCAGACAGAATTCATCCGTTCCACATGGACTGGGGATGCACCAGCATTTGTGTGCCTTAGAATTATGTAGGGATCATTCTAAAAATGAGTCCTCAGAACTCCTCTTCTCATTTAGTTGGTCTTAGGTGAGTTCATAAATCTCCATTTTTGTCAAACATTCCACCACATTCCAATATAGGACCTTTCTGGACCACACGCTGAGAAAGATGGCATTAAATCTGCTCACACACCTCACCCATGTGAGGGACACAGCCTCCAGGAAAACCTTCACCCAGATTGTCAGAAACTAGCTGAGAGTCACATATTTCACACACTCAGTATGGCTATGAATAAATGGGGGTCTCTGCCTGTTTCTCCATCTCCTCCTGAAAATTTTTCTAAGTAAGGTATATTTAAATGGTTTGTGAAAGGACACAAGATTGGATTCTCTTTTTGATGAATTACTTTTGATGATTCATTCCCTTCATTCATAACAGCTTTCTTTCACAAGTAAGTGTCAGGTTCAGAAATCTTCTTTTGTTTTTTGGGTTTCTTTTTGTTGTTGTTACTGGGGATGGAACTCGGGCCCTTGCACTTGTGAGGCAGGCAGCAGAACCACTGAGCTAAATCCCCAGCCCTAGCTTCAGATACAAACTTGAACCGTAGTTGCTACACATCCTATCTCCCATCCTGACCCGGAGGGGCACCCTTATTTCAGCTTCAAATGCAATCCTTTAAGTGAGGACAACACTAACCTGCAGCCACCTCAGAAACCAAACCAAGTGAAATACATAGCAATTGATTGGTGCAAATATTGCTGTGTCACTGGTTTCCATAAAGTAGATACTTCAGTCCCAGATCTAACAAAAAACAAATCAGCAGCTATATGGAACTCTTTCCTATTATTCTGGGAGGGCTAATCCTTATCTAAATCAATGCTATAAATGTAACAAAAGATACAAATTTGTCTGATGCATAATTCATTTATTATGAACTCATGTAAGACTCAAATCATTGAAACAGGATTATTTATGGGATAGTTAACACCAGAGGCAATTTCTACAGATTTTAGCCCTGGCTAATGAAAGATATATATATATATATACATTTTTTCATTCCCAGTCTCATTCTATTGTTCCTTCCAACAAATTGATCCTCATTACAGTAGGCATACTATACTTCCTCACAGAAATAGTGGCTAAATTGTTTATTCTTTTATTGCATCAAAAATATAAAATATGAAAAGACATAATAATGCCCTGATAATTATTCATGCTATTGATAAATTGTCGTGTTTTTACTAACAATTCTAACTTAATCACTTATTAACTACCTTGGTTTGCAACAGGAATAAATTCAAGCATCAATAACAATAAAAATAATATGCTAGAATCAAATTTTGAATAATAAGGTATATATTTTCTTTGAAAACTACACATAAGCCATTCCCTTAGAAGGGCCATACTGAAAAGAAACACTAATATCAATGCAGTGGAAATGTAACTCATTGAGTATTAGAGTGGCCTCAGTGTTAAAGGTAAATTTTATGGATAAGTGAGGTTAGAATTATTATACTGCAATCACTAGGCAGAATAAAACTCTTTAGGCTCATCAAAAATAATCAAACATGATCTGCCAGTTTGATAACCAAGAAAAATACCTCTCTGCATTGCGAAAGGATGGCAAATATTCTGAGAAATGTGTTACTGGGCAATTATCTCATTGTGTGACCATTACAGAATGTACTGACACAAACATAGATGGTATAGGTCACTCAAGAAATTCAACTTCAATGTGGCCTCTTGGTGCAATCAGGATATGCAGTAATCACAAGATGTAAGAGTCTATTGATGGCAGAACACAGTACACTGCTTCCCAGTAAATTATTTTTCTTAGAAGTAGAAGGAATATGCTATAATATAATGGAAAATGTGCAGCACAGTAAATACAAAAATCAGTAAGTAATTTATCACTTCAAGCATTTATGTACTATACATAATTTTATATGCTATACTTTTATATGACTGGCAGTACAATGAGGTTTGTTTATACCAGCATAACCACAAACATGTGAGTAGTACATTGAAATAGAACCTTAGGGAGGCTACAGCATCACTGGGAGTTGGGAAGATTTCAGCTCCATTACAATTGTATGGGATCACCACTGGGTGAGTTCCTTCCATGACTCAACAACATTGTTGACTACATGACTACAATGTTGTGTAACAGCTTTCCACTGCTGCTTAGCAAATCATTACAGAGTGAGTTACAACACTATACAGCTACTATTTCATGGATGAAATCTTGCAGATGAAGATCCTGAGATGGGTGAGTTAAATCCTCTACTCAGCTTTAAATCAAAGTCAAGGATGGAGCTGAAGCTCTGGATCTTCCTAGATCACTGCTGTATGCCTAAGGTCTTTTCTCTTGTCAGCTGGTGGCACAGGCCACACCTATGTCTATGAGATTGCTGTAGGTGTCACACCTTCTCCATCGCATAGAAGGCTGCACCATGAATACTAGTGGAAAAGTCTCTTCCATGCTTCAAACCTCTCTGATAACTTTTCAGGGCTTAGCTGATTAGGACAGGCTCACCCAAGGTAGCCTGTATTTTGAGTAGCTCAGTCAACTGATTAGTGATCCTAATTACACCTGTAAAAATCCCTTCCATCATCAGGTAAAGGTCCAAGATCCCAGTAATGAATGTAACTGTACTGTATACCTAAAATGTACCAATAAACTCAATTAAAAAATCCCTTCCATCATCAGGTAAAGGTCCAAGATCCCAGTAATGAATGTAACTGTACTGTATACCTAAAATGTACCAATAAACTCAATTAAAAAATCCCTTCCATAATAAATGGTACCCTAATTATGGTAGTAATGGCTTATTATGTTCCTGAATCCTAGCCACACTAAATGGATAGCATTATACAGAATATTTACATCAGGAGATTATCTTCAATTCTGCCTCTCACTATATGGTTCTTGTCTCTTATGAGGCATGCCAGGTGT